GGAAACCGTTACTTCACTTGCACAAGATAGTTGGCTCATCGAGGTATCGAGTGTAGGGTGCACTGTCGAAAAACTAGTAACTCGGAGTTTATAATTTTCTGTAATATAAAGACTGAACAAATACTATTATATATTACAGTATGCTGTCAGACAATGCAATTAATTCTAGGCAGTATTGTAAAGTAGTGAACATGTTGTTCAACATGCTTTTTTTACTTCGAGCCTATTCTACTGCTTTTTCGGGAACTTAAATTAGTACGGTATCCTACAAAGTAAGCTCAGTAAGAACTATTCCTTTTATAACTCCTCTGGACCCAATCTGTGAGATGAAGCTTTTATTAACCATTCTTCGCTCCCACGAAATGGCGAATCTTCCATCAATCTTCTTTACATTTAAGGCTCGAAATTCAATCAAGTATAGAAGTCAAAGTTTAATCCAACAAGTACAATACAATTTTAATACAAGTTCAGATGTCCGACATGCTCACCAGGATATTACGGCGAGTTCTGCGAGGAGATCCATTGCGTTCATGGAGAGCCGAGCGATCTTGGTTAGATCACTATCAATTTCCCTTACATTTTTCCGGCTTTTTTTTCCTACAAGTTACTAGTAAACCTAAATAATGGGTTTTTAGACCCTTGATTCTGCTCTGTACTTATTGTTAGAGGTGTCGAAGAAATATGATTGTCCTTTGGACTAGCGTGTTGAATGGAGCTGATCTCGTGCTCATTTCGCTGTCGTAGAGTTTGAGCCTAAGTCGTAGCTTGAGTAGCACTAAACACTGTAGAAGTTTATAGATTTCTTACGTTCCTGTCTTGAATCAGGTTCACNTGTAGCAAGACTACTTACGAGTTGACTTTAGCTACAGGCCGTAGTCCGAGTTCTTAGGATCCTTGAGAGACCTTTGCATCGCACTTCGTGACATAAAACAACTGTCAACAAAAACAAACCCGAAACCAAAGTATAAATTCCAATTTTTATTGTTTTTATGGCAATTAACATTTCAGAAACGAAATGCGAATGTGAAGAACCGTACTCGGGCACATTTTGTGATGAGTTGAGTACGAAGCAAGTTTACAGCTATTACAATCGACGGGTAAGTTTCTCATTGAGTTGTTCTTTCTTCCTTCAGTACTTTTCATTTCTCAGATAGCAACTGTGCTACGTACTTTAACAAAAAACTGTGTGTTGATGTGTACGTTTTTGTTTATTCCGTTACGCATCATAAACAAGTTATGCCCACTTTACTCGATGTCCAGAATCTATTGAAATTCACGGGCGCGGAAGGGAGAGGGATCAAGGTCAAACTGTTCGACGAAATGGTTGTCACGTAGTGAGTAGCACAGTTACATAACACGTAATTTGTAACTGAATGACATGAACAACCGCCAGAACTCGGTGTCCGACTTAATTTACTAAAATGGGAGGTTTCTACTCAGGACCAGCGTTGATGAGCATGAACTGGAGGATAAGTCCCTCTCTGCCAACTATCAATCCTAATTAGTTGTTGTAGAGTTTACAGTCAGTTGATGTTTCAAAAAGCAATATATCTCGCTCGTTTTCCGAGCTTGTTTGAGCTTCCGTTTCGATTTCCGATTTCCGGGCTACACAACTGGCACCTTTAGTGAAACCGAAGAAACGTTGGACTGCCCCCATGCGCACCCCCAATCTTGCTTCCACAAAGAGATTTTCGATTGAAATATAAATAATTCAAAGCCCAGCCTTAATCAGTTGGGGACTGGCTAGCGTAGGAGTAAGGAGGGGCATCATTTGAGAAAAAAAATGTGGCCTCTTGACCCATGACAACATGTCGGTTTTTTCTACGCTCTTGCATGAGTGATCTGTCGCCTCGCTGCAGTTTTTGGAGAGATTTTTTTTGCTCTCAAAACGTCCTTCATGAGAGTTTTTGTATATAGTCAAAAGGGATCACATAGAGTTCTCCTTGTACTACGAGCGCAGGCCTGAGCTCCTAATCAGGGCAATCTCAGTGCGAATTATTGTGAGACTTAGGAAAGGGGGTATGGGTTGGCTGGGCATGACAACCAGGTCGGGTTCAGCCAAGAAACAAATGTAGGGAAAAGTTTTATGCTATGGTGCAGTTCTCGTAGAGGGGTTATGATTTACGACGTAATTAACAAAGAAAATCCGGTTTGGAAGTCGTTTCGAGTGCACGTCTTCAACATTTCTCATCGATTTTTCGTTCTGGTGGGTCTATGGCTGTGGTGAGATGCAGCCCCCAAAAAATTCAGTAAAATGTAAACCTAGTAGAGTTTACTGAATAGACAGATCGTATTAGTGAACGATTCGTAAAAGGGCAACTTTTTGAATTCTAATATCAATAGCTGGAGCCTACCTGGTGGGTTGGGATAAGATTGTGGGTGTTTATGTGCTGGTGGATGGGTGACCATTTCTATTAGGCACCACCGGACACCACCTCCCGTTAGCATGGTACGGGAAAACTGACTACTTTTTTTCTAATGGCATTCTCGGATTCTCCCAAAATGCCTCTCTCTAGCAATGGTGACAATAGCAGCAGCTATTGTCTTACTCTACTGCGTACAAGTTGGGACCTGATGTAATTGTCTCACTGCGGCCTGAATATTTGTTTCCTACGTAGTTTTGAGGGTATGCGGTACATCTGTGGAGAAGCTTC